GAGAAATAAAGCATTCGAATCGAATAGAATTCTTGGTTTGAAATTTTTATAATCATTCCAAATTAATCAACTCATATATTTATTTATGTACTATTCATTCTGAATAAATTGTGCTTCGGGATCAAATGAAGTAAATTTAATACAAATAAAACATTTCTCGGGATGTAAAGGAAATGAAAAATTGAAGACAAATTATTGCAAAAAGTACAGAAACAAAATAAATGCTTAAAATTTAATAGTTCACGTGAAGGAAAAAAATTAAGTTGCATTGAGTTGAAAAATTAGTCCTGTGGAGCCAAAAATTATTCCTCCTTGATTGCGAAATTATTGAAAACTAGAGGACTTCGCCCCCTGCTCGTTTCACTCGCCAACACCGGGGGAGCTTCGCCCCTCCTCGCTCACTTCGCTCGCTCCCCCCCCTCCTCTCCAATCTTTTTGGGTATGTTTAGGTGTCCGTATTGCATAGAAAAAAAATTGATTGAATGATTTACCTCCCTTAGAAAATTGAAGTTTTCATTATTTGCAAAAGACTTCAACCAACGTCTTTAGTCGTGAGCCTCAATCATCCATTATTCCATTTATTTAGATAGAATAGTATGAGGTATACTCATATTATTATCTTATTAAGGATTTGACCCCCATAGATTTTGTCCCTTATGTCATGATTGTTGATGGTCAAAAGTAACTTAAGCAGTCTTCAGCAATTTTAGGATAGTTGAAGTTCAAGAAGAATTTTTCAAAGTCTAAATTATCTTAATCATGAAATACATGAGCGGTCAAAAAAATATTTAAAAAAAAGAATTTGTCCTCTGTATTTCCCCCATATGACCCCCTATGAACATATTGGAGAGATAGCGATGATTCATTCTCAATGGCATCATCAGGGTCACAGTAAGGGCAAGAATCAGAGGCATCTCCTGAATTCCTAAACCTCCTCATTTGTTTATTATGTAGAGACATTATTTTATTATATAGAGACGTGATTAAAATTCATAAAATTATTGTTTCAAATTCCCAATCTGTTCAAAATTCAATTCAATTCAGTCGATTTTTCGACTTTCAATTCCGGGCATTAACGCAGGGAAAGAAAAACTCAATAAAAATTACCAGAATAAAACGTAAAAATTACGTTTCGAAGCGTAATCCGCGAGCGAAGTAAAATTCAATAAAAAGTGTGAATTTGTTCCGTAAAAATTAACCCCCCGTCTGATGACTCACCGCTGTGGGGACAACAAGTCGTTCCGTAATTTTTCCCTAACGATTGAGAAATTTTACGGAACGGCACGTATAAATAAATAACTCACCAGCTCCATAAAAACTGTTGAACGTTGAAGAATTTTTGATTTTGGAGGCAATAATAAGATAATAAGTCGGCAAATTTCTGTAAGATTTTACTTCTTCGGGAAAAATTACGGGAGAATTTCGTACTCTGTTCGGTGAGGAACCTGAAAATTCACTGAACGTTTCAATTTCTTCTCTTCCATTCCTATAAAAATTTCCGGAAAATAATTCCCCATTGCGGATTACATGAATTGTTCCGTAATTTTTACCGAATATTTCTCTCCGTGTGGAGCATTTCATGAACAATTTGATTCCCAACACGGAGAGAAATAATCAATAAAAATTACGTATCTTTTCCGTAATTCTTATTCAAATTTCTTATTCAATTTGACGGAACTGTCACGGAATTTTTTCCGGAGCGTTCTGTAATTTTTATCTGAATCTCCTGCGAAAAATTACGATACGTCACTTAAATTTTCTGAGTCGATTTCGTAATCGGTGAGTGAATTGTGAGTTCTGTATTTTTTACTGAACATTTCTCTCCGTGAATAAAATTTGAATCTAAAATCTCAAGAATAATGTTGAATGGAGAGATTCCCCGAAAAATTCCCAAATTCAAAAACAAACAAAAGCCCGATAAAAACCAATCATTCGCGACTGTCTGACTCTGGCACGTGATTCAGCCCAGTTGCGTGATCAAGAATGCTTCCACTGATGTCGTGTTAGGTCTCCCAGTAACATTAATCTGTTTGGCCGAGCGCCCAACCCCAGCTGCAATCCCAACAATCCTCTTGCATAAAATACACGTGTACTCATAACAAACCAGTTAAAAACTTTCCATCTAGAATAATTCCCCCAATATTGAACTCCAATCCTTTGAACTCTTTCCCCTCGGCTTCACAACACTCTGGCAACACCACTTCATCCTCATAAAACCGAAATTTTCCTTATTCACCCTAGGAACGTTTTAATATTCTTAAAATGCGTTGAAAAGTTTTATGTTGCCCATAAATATCAGGTGAAGTCGAGGGTGCGAAAGTTTGGTATTAAAACCAAGTGGGGAATATTCATAACTTTAATGCTGAGTAAAAGTTGGTGGATATTTTTTGAAGATGACAACATTGATTGATGACTCTTGTTTAAAGTTTTAGGCGTCGAACGGACGAGTCTCCATCTCAATCAATTGAGCATTCAATTTTCCTGTGAATTTTTCAGCGATTGAAGACATTTTTTAGGAACTGCTACGGATGATTTCATCGAGGGGCTATTCAAATTCTCAATTGAAGGGTAGTTTGGCCTTTATGACCTTAAAACTCTTATGACCCTTGCCTGTATCAGCCGTCTTTCCGCGCGGCCCACTTTCCCCAAACCTACACTAATCACTTTAATAATAACAAACACTTGAAAATTATTAACTGTAATAACCTGACAGATCTTTAACTTCACATAACCCATGGAATTTCATCATCGTCATCCTCATAATCATCCTTGCATTCACATCAACAAACACCCCCTAAAAAACGGCCTTTTGACGTTTTTTGTGATACTTATAACTCAGAAACAAATCCATTAATTGAGATCAATCTAGGCTCATTCTAAAGGGGAAGAAGTATAGTTTCCATGGAAAAAAATTATTCCATTTAATTTAAAATTGAATGAGCCGTTAACATTTTTGAAAAAATCAAAAGGGGCCGTTTTACCCCACTCTACCCTACAATAAAATTTTACAAAAAATTCACCGGATTCGGGATTTTTCAATCTACCACGGATTCATTTTTTAAGAATATCCTAACAACCGTTTTCTCATGAGATGACAAAATCGAGTTCAGGGGGATTCATAAACTGTGTAACACAGCTACACTGTTAGAAAATAAATTAAATTTCATGGATAGTTGACTACAAATTTTCAGGGCAGTGAAACTGAATGCGATTTAGGGGAAAAAATCATGAAATTTCAGGTTTCACTGACAATTCAGTAAAATTCCAAAATTTTAAGTAGCATAAAGACGAGAATTTCTTAATTAATTTGAATTTCCAATCTAACATGAATATTCAGTGCCAAATTACATTGAATTGTCAGTAAAATGTGAACTTTCATTATTTTTATCAGTAGTAATACCACGAGACCTGCAAAATTATCGGATATTTCCCGATTGTTTTGTTGCGCAGCAACGAGAGGGAGAAGTTTTGCAGATTAAAATTTTTGTGCAAAACTTATCCCGATCGTTGATACGGAGGAAAACATGAGGGAAATGTCCGATTAATTTTGAAGGTCGAGTGGTATTCGACGGATTATTTTTGGTAATCGGATCCTTCCCAAACCGACTCATTTTGACTTTCTTCATGACTTTCTTTCACTCCACAGGATAATATTTGACAGTTATTTGGTTAGAGAAACAATTGCAGAGCTAGAGGGAAGTTATCAAAAGCTACAGGGAAATTATCAAAAGCTAGGGGTAAATAACCGCTGTAATTTTAATGGGGAAGTACTTCATGTTATTGAATACTGAACTCTGATTGGCTCAGGGAAGACCAGATCCGATTACCAAGAATAATCAGTAGTAATACCGCACGAGCATCAAAATTATCGGGTATTTCCCGATATCTTCGTTGCAAACAAATGAGGGTGTCAAGTTTTGCAGGTTAAAAAATCCCAAGCGCTAGTGCGAGGGATTTTTCTGCAAAACTTGGCACGATGGTTTGTTTCCAGAGGAGCTTGAGGGAAATCCTCGATTAATTTTGAATCTCGAGAGGTATTTGTCGAATGATGTTTCCTAATCGGATTTTGGCCAAGTAGAGTGCAGTGCCCAACATCAGGAGGTAAATTTGGGAAGATTTGAACAAATTATGTTAATAGAATAACCCCATTTCCATAGACTGTCAAATATAAGATTCTATCGTAAAAAAATGAAGAACTATTGCGAAATATTCAAAAGCTAGGAGGAAATATCTGAAATAAAACTGTCGGGTACCCTCAAATACTGCGCTCTGATTGGTTGAAATCCGGTTGGGAAAAACAATCCCTCTAAATCGCATTCAGTGCTACTGTCCTGAAAATTCAGAATATATTTACCGGAATTTTCTGGCTTTCTATTTATTTTCAGAGAAAACTTGAACTGAAATTTCCAGTTCTCTTTAATTTTTCCACAAAATTCTGAATTTTCAATGACGAAATTCCACGAAATTTCAGTAGTAATTTAATTCGATAAAAATTTCCGAAAAGTGTACCGTAAATTTCGGACAAAAATTTTTAACATGTAGTTGGATTTTTTTGCAATAGCTAAGAAATATTATCAACATTATCTATGAAAAACATGGAGACAATCGTAAGAAAAACCTGTTTTCTAGGAATATACCGTAACCCCCTACGCACGGGGTTGATACCATGTATCGATCCATGAAAATGTGAACGACTCGCTTCATAATTGGATATTTCCAAAACTATGAAAAGCAACTCAACCAAACAAATAACAACGGGAAAAGGAATACTGTAGCTTCAATTACGTATCGGTTTCATAATTTTCCGTTGATTAGAACTCATCGTTGTCTAGCTGTATCGAGCATAAGCACGCTTGGAAACAAAAGGGTCCCGTCTGTTCGGGGTTAATCCCAAATAATCGCTTGAATCTCATCCTCGCAATCACCCTCATGACGATCCTCACATTCACATCAACAAACAACCCCCTCCCCTAATAAAAAAACAAAACTCTAATCCTCACCTCTCCCCCAATCTCGCCTCTTCCGTCTCCGCCGCCTCCTTCCCCTCACCTCAACGATGTCCGAGGACGAGGACTCCCCAGATCTCCAGGGATCACAACTTTTATCCTCACTCCGTCTCCCAACTTGACGACACTTCAGTAGATCGTAAACACGTCTGAAGTAATCCCCAGCCATGTCCCTCCCCGGCCCCTGAGATCCATTGACAATCCCCATTCCCCATCCGTCACCATTATCATCATCACCAGCGTCAACGGCATTCTCATCCCCACCGTCCACAATCCTGAAGGTATTCGACTTCTTGACATTGGAATTCACCCCGAAATCCATCCACCCACGAGCCATGACGCCACCCATACCCTTGGGTATCGAGTTGTACCCAATGTCCTCAAGCTTGGGTTCAACAATCAGATAATTCTCCTGAAGAATCGTCTCGGCTTCGGTGGACGCGTCCTCCTCATCCCGGGATAGATCCCTCACGCGTTCAGCAAATCCATCAGCATCATCATCATCGCTGCTCTCAGCTAGACTCTCGTGGATCCTAGCTGTCCTGGGGATCCACTCCCTCGCAGGACAAGAGATGCTCCTCCCAACCGTCGGAGAACGCTTTTCATCAGGACAGAAACCATTTCTATCAGAATTGATTGAACCCGGGGACAAGTCACTCCTCGTCCGCCTGTAGGACGTCTTCTCCTTTCTCACTTTGTCTGATGACGACAAGGTATTCAACCGAATGTTGGCGTCACTCCGGACCTTCCTCGGCCGGTAGTTCCCCCTCGCACTCCTCCGATTATCCGAATACCGTCTCCTGATCCGCCTCGGTTTATCACTAGGTATATCCGAGTCATTATCATCACTCGGATGTGAATTAGTCCATCTTCTCGGATTATGATCCAAATAAGCGCGCACCCGGTGATATCTGTCGAAGGCGATCTGCTCGTCACTCTTGGCGAGAATTTCCGGGGAGCTCAGGTCCTCCAGGATTTGATGCCTCAGATAATCACCGATTGAGTATCTCCTCTTTTTTTCTGAGCACATACCAGATTTCTGGCGCCGCGGGGCCATCTCCGGAATTAGGGACGTGGAACTGCGACTCTTCCGTTGGGGATTCAATTTCATCTCGGGGGTGGGTTCCAACGGGTCACGGGGGGTGGAATGCAGCGGGAATTTCTCGTAATTGATCAGGATGTGCGGCTCGCAGTGAGATACGTCTTTGAGGCTGTTTGTCAGGGGGTAGATGTGGTCAGCTATTTTCAGCCTCATTATTGTGCCCGGGGGTGAGTCCGTGAAGTACGAAAAATTGCGCTCGGTATTCATCATGCGATTGATTTTTTAATTATTTTTTAGAGTTTTAATATTCACTTCACTGCGGGCAAATTCTTTATTCCCCTGGATTAGTCTGTGAAACTAGTTATTCGCTGGATTTTGTAGAAAAAAGATGTTAAATCAGTCTCATCGTCGGTTAAACTCTCGGTTCTACGTACAGTAATCAGAGGATAAAAAATCAAATGGATTGGGGGAGAAATAATAAGTTTCTTTTGGGAAAATCCTTCTATTGACTCGCAGTTGCCTCTATATGGATAAATATATACTGTTGCGAATTCAATTTACGATTCGCTTTTGCTCTTTCTCTTTGACGAAAGACTGCTTTTGCCATTTTGACGTTCGTATCTTCGGTTTCTTCTGATATTATCCTTTATTCTTTTATTATTTTCATTAAACGTCTTTTCTTTGATCTAACAGTATGGGTCTCTTCGTTTGAACTTCGACAATTATTAGGATGTCAAATAGGGAAATGCCATATACAGGGTGATGTCAGCACGTTGTTTAACCCTAGCTTGGTCACCATAGGAGGGAAACGCCGCAGAAGGTCGATTTATTTTCTTACCATTGACTGGCTGCACGGAAAAAAATAAATCGGTAAAAGTCTTGGGATCGCAAGGAATTTCCCGAAGATTCCAAAAAGCTTCATTGTTCTTCGTGCATGAAAAATGGGGATCTTCGGGAAACTCCTTGCGATCGCAAGACTTTTACCGATTTATTTTTCTCCGTGTGAGCGGAAAAATACTAAAAAATTGGAATGCGTCAATTCAAGTGTCTAGAAAATTATAATATTTTTCAAAATTATTTATATCCACAATTTATGAAGAAAAAAAATTATTTCTAACAGACGGGCAATTTTTTCCCATGTTAAATGAAATTGCCCGTTGTGCGACGTTGCCGAAGTCTCGCTAAACGCGCCCGGGCAGTATAGAGTGAATTCGGCAACGCTCGAGCCTAAATAACACGGCGGCGATTCCCTGCGGAGGTGACCAAAATCGCAAGTTCTCATATGGTGACCAACTAGGGTTAAGAAATTGTGAGAAAATATAGAATGGAGAATCGGTAATTCAATGCCATAAATATTATGAAATTACGATAATAAATTTTTGAATAGCAAGCGTTAGAATTTTCTGCCTAAAATTTGTAAACAATGTGTTGACGTCACCCTGTATTACTATAGGAGTTCTGTTTGAATTCTATTACTAAAAAGAGAAAAGAAAGCGGATGAAAAATGAAATAGATTGCGACATAACAAGTTTTTGTCCGAGCAAAGCGAGATTAGAATCGCGGTTTTCGGGCCCAATAACGTAAAATATTGTATGTCATACGGCCTTGAAAGCATTATGTGACTCATGGGATCATAATCCTCGCCGTCGGCTCGTATTATAAAGTCACATTCGTCAGATAATACTTCATCTCGCCTGACATATAATATACTATTTTTGTAAAGTCCTTCTACTAACTCGCAGTTGCCTCTGTGGAAAAATATATACTGTAGCAAATTCAGTTTACGGTTCTCTTTTTCGTCTTTCTCTTTGATAAAACCCTGCTTCTACCATTTTAACTTTAATACCGTCGATTTCTCCTGCGATTATCCTTAAATCGTTTATTAATTTTATTAAACGTCTTCTTTCATGTAACATCATCGATATCTTCTTTTGAATCGCGACAATTATTAGGATGTCATATAGTGCAATGTCATATATTTCTACTGGAGTTCTGTTTGAATTCAATTACTAGAAAAAAAAGAGAAGTCGAAAAGAAAGAGGGGATGAAAAACGAAATAGATTACGAGACAAATGACAATTTTTTTTGTGAAATCGTTCTATTAACTCGCAGTTACCTCTATGGAAAAATATATACTGATGCGAATTCAATTTACGATTCTCTTTTTTCTCTTTCTCTTTGGCGGAAGACGGATTCTGCCATTTTGACGTTAGTATCTTCGGTTTCTTCTGCCATTATCCTTTTTTCTATTATTATTTTCATTGAACGTCGTTTCTTTCATCTTTCATCTCTTTCATCTAACATTATCGATCTCTTCTTTTGAACTGCGACAGTTATTAGGATGTCACATAGTGCAATGTCGTATATTTCTATTGGAGTTCTGTTTGAATTCTATTACGAAAAAGAAAGAGAAAAAGAAAAGAAAAAGAGGATAAAAATGGTGCATTTCGTCATTAGGTGGAACAAAACTTTTCTGGCGAATATGAGTTTACCTGAGCCGAAGGCGAGGATTTTTGTCATAACGGACGCTGCGTGAATCATTACATATGGACGGAATGACAAAAATGAAACAGATTGCGAGACAAATAGCAAGTTTTTTTTACCAACTCGAAGTAGTTTCTATGGAAAAATATCTATAGTTGCAAATTCGATTGATGATTTTCTTTTTTCTATTTCTCTTTGACGAAAGACTGCTTCTTCCGCTTTTACGTTTGTATTTTTGGTTTCTCCTGAGAGGATGAAAAATGAAATGGATGGCGAAAGATATAATAAGGTCCTCTTGGGAAAATCCTCATATTAACTCGCAGTTGCCTCTATAGAAAAACATATACAGTTGCAAATTCGATTTACGATTCTCTTTTTATTTTTTTCTCCATTTCTCTTTGACGATAGACTACTTCTTCCATTCTTACGTTAGTATCTTCGTCTACTCTTATAAGAGTACAAAATAATATATTATTTGGAATTATTTAATAGTATTTCATCATGTTTTTATATTAAATTTGCTCATACGTGCACTGAGTCTCGTAGGGCTACGTCTTTGAAGAACAGTTTCGATTCCCGGCTGGGTGAAGCGGAAATTTTTTCTCTCTAAATTCTAATTCTCTTAGAATTTTTTTAGTTACCAATGATGAATAATAAATTAATAAGTAAGCGATGAAGTAAATTCCGAAATCCTTCGGTTTTCAAACAGACCTGACGTGTCTTTAACGCTTTTGGGTATTAATTTTACCAAAAATCTATTTAAAAAATTACACAATAAAGTTGTGTAATCTGCAGTAGAGTTGGCGCAAACAACAATGGAATTAGTAGTAGTATGCTTTCATTCCGAATCCCCTGACATAAAAGGACTTTCGTTCCATTATACAGAAAATGAAAAAAACTACGAGTTCATAAAACGAAGAGTTAACGTAAAAGAAGATAAAGATAAAAAGAATAAAAACGATAAAAGAAATATTTATTTAATAGAGTTTCAACAGAACTACGATGAAATTTCTTGGTAGGAACGAAAAAAAAAATGCCAATAATGAATAATAAATAAGTACCTAAACAATGAAGTAAAGGCCCAAATCCTTCTGCTTTCAAACAGACCCGACATGCCTTTAACGCTTTTGGATATTCATTTTACCGAAAATTTACTAAAAAATGTCACAGTAAAGTTGCATACTCTGCAATAGAATTGGCGCGAAGAACCGATGGAATTAATAGTATTAGTATGTTTTTATTCCGATTCCCTAGATACAAAAGACTTTTCGTTCGTTTATCCATACAATAAATTTTTAAAAACTATGGGTCCATAAAACAAAGAGTCAAACTAAACAACAACAAAAATAATAATAGAATTATTTAATAGAATTTCAACAGAGCTCCGATAAAATTTCTTGAAAGGGCCGGAAAAACAATTACTAATAATTAATAATAAATAAGTACCTAAACAATGAAGAAAATGCCGAAATCCTTTTGTTTTCAAACATATCTGACATGCTTTTACCACTTTTCAATATGCATTTTGCTAAAATCCTATCGAAAAATTACATTTCATCACGCTGTGGCAAAAAGTGAACTTTTCGGCACGCTCCGCGTGCCTAAAAGTCCAATTTCCGCCACATTGTGATGAAAAATATTGTTCGTAACTCGTGAAAAAATGTTTTTTAGCTCGTGGGATTATATCACTCGCCTTCGGCTCGTGATATAAACCTCCCATTCGCCAAAAAACACTTTTTTGCACTCGTTACGAAATATACTACAGTAAAGTCGCATAATCTGCAATAGAATTGGCGCGAAGAACTAATGGAAATGATAGTATTAGTATGTTTTCATTCCGATTCCCTAGATACAAAAGAACTTTCGTTCCATTATCCATACAATAAATTTAAAACAACTATGGGTCCATAAAACGAAGAGTCAAACTAAAAAAAAAATAAACATAATAATAGAATTATTTACTTGAATTTCAACAGAACTCCGGTAGAATTACTTGAAAGGGCCGTTTTTTCTATCAAATTTTTCCATACGTACATTCACTGTCACAGGGCTACGTCTCAGCGTACGTTCAGTATCGCCAGTTGCCGATAATGAATAATAAATGAATAAGTAAATAATGAAGTGAATCCCGAAATTCTTCTGTTCCCGAACTCTTCCGACATGCCTTTAACGCTTTTAGATATTAATTTCACCATTTACAATCTCACTATAATTCATTAGAAGGATCTTCCCAAAAAAAAAAAAATTTTCCCACCGTCTTTATCACTTTTATTGTCTTGTTGGGCGTACACTTGCACTCGGAACGTAGCACTTTAGGACTGACTTGTCGAGTTTACGTAAACTGGGGATTGTAAACTTGGCAGAATTTCATGAAGAATGTTGAGGGGCAGAGGGGGCAACATTGGACAAACGGTTGAGAATTTTCAGTGGTATGCGAGACCCGGATTTTTTACTGAGATGCTAAGGGGCTTCCGAAGAATGGGGAATATGATTCAAGATGCTTGAGACGAGTTTGAAATTTTTGGGATTTAAGGGGAATTGTTGTGCTGGTCGTATTGTTCGGGGGGGAAAAGCTCAACTGTCAGTGATTGTGGGGAGCGTCGGGAGAGAGACTCGTCGGCGGCGTCCGTCTGCGGACCCTGGGTGACATCATACCGTGGACCAAAATAGATTTTTGGGGGCGGGGGGAGGACTGAGGTATTCCGGCATGTGGGATGCATTACACATCGGAGTGTCCCATATCTTGAGGAGAGAAGAAAAAGGAGATTTAAATGCTTAATTGGGTGCAAATTTTTTCGCACAGTTTTTAATCATTTTTTAAATTTTTGGGTTCGAATTTGTCTTTTTTTTGTGTTTGTTTCGGGCTAATTTCGATGATAAATGTAGACTTTGTAGAATTTTGAAATTTCTGTTTTTTAAAGATTTTTATTTCCAATCTCTCAGCAAAACCCACGGGATTTAGTGTATTTATTTCTGTAAATTAGTGTCTTCGACGTCTGAATGCTCTTGAAAATCATCGGGAACTCGTGCCAAGTAAACACGTACGCATTCGAATTGAAATACAGCGTCACAAGGTCGTTGATTCAGAAGAAACTTGATCCAATTAGATGCCCCCGCAAACCCCCTAATTACGTCGATCGAGCTACCTTCATTAATGTCATCCAATCTTGTTAATTTATAATTGACCTTAACTCCATCACCGATAATGAACCACTTAGTTTTTACACATCATGGAAACCCACTCCTCAATTATATTCAATGTAAAAAAATATCGGTATTAAATTGGCAGAAGAGGAGATGAATATGAATATTGAATCCACATTATTTCGAGAATATTTAAAAAAACTGATCGATTTATAACGAATGCAATTTCAACTGATTAATTTTAACGATGTTTGCTTCCGAATGAAAGCATTGTCTTTGTGAAATTCGAAATTTCTGATTTTCTGTATCAGGATGATTAATTTTGGATTCAGGAGTTTGAATATGATTTTTATGTCATAGGTGCCCAGAATCACGGGATTCTGGGCCCTATGACATAAAATAGTATACGAAACTCGTGCGTAATGGTGTTTTTTGACTCGTGGGATTGTAAAACTCGCCTTCGGCTCATTTTACAACTTCCCACGAGCCAAACAACCCATTACGCATTTGTTGCGTAATATACTATTTTAGACCATGTCTGCTGTATGTATAAAGAATGTGTGTGTATATGATCAATCGTTTTTCGACGATAACTGAAAATAGTATATTTCGTAACGAGTGCAAAAAACATTTTTTCCCGAGTTACGAACAATATTTTCCGTCACAATGTGGCGGAAATTGGACTTTTAGGCACGTGGAGCGTGCCGAAAAGTTCACTTTTCGTCACAGCGTGATGAAAAATAATTGTTTCAATGAATCCAGATGTGATTTGAAATATTCTTCCCAATGCCATTTTCACCAAGTCTGATCATGAGATTGATTGCCTCATCTGTTGTTGAACAAAATTTATTTTTATGGCACTTCCCTAAAAAGTGCCCTTTTCAAAACGGTTTAGTGTGCGTAAAGCGGTTATTTTCCGCACGGTGTGCCTAAGGCGATGAATCCTCATTCAATTTTTACGACAATTATAAATTTTGTGAACCTTCTGACCCTTGAGACCATCATGAACCTGATGATCCATATTCCCTCGATCGCAGCTAAAGATGACTAAATAATTGTTACGAATATTCCCTCTAAAAACGCCAAAATCACCTGATTAAATCTCCACCATCGATAACGAGCCACTTACTTTTTACACATCTTGGAAACCGATTTATCAATTCTGTATCAATGTAAGAAAATCTGTATTAAATTGGCAGAAGAGGCGATGAATATGACGAATTTAATGCATATTATTTCGGGAATATCTCAAAAACTGATCGATTTAGAACAAATATAATTGTAACTCAGGAATTTAAACGTGATTTTATCATTTATAAACTACAAAATTAATTTTGATGTTTGCAGAAATGATGTTTATGGTGTTTCCACGGGTTTATAATGTTTAGAAGGGTCATAAGGGCCAGATGGGAATTACAGAGGCAAATGCAAGTTAAACATCATGAGATAAACATGTTCATGATATTTGACCCTTATTTAATTCTTACGACACTTATAAATATTATGAACGTTCTCACCCGTAACCATCATGACTCTCATTCGATTAATCACAGCCGAAGTTTATCATATATTCATTACAAATATTCCCCCCCCCCCTTCCAAAAAAACATTAAAAACCACTTGTTTACGGTAGCATATAAAACCATAATTTATTCAGCAGATGAAATTCAATCAATTATAAATGTACAGCAACATCTCCCGCATCCTCATATTCTGAATCAATAAATGAGGAAGAAAAAAAATGAATGAAGAAACAAGAGTTGATCAGCTTACAACAGTGAATAACAAATTCTTATTTTTGTCCAGCAACATACGTAATTATTGTAACATCATTCGATATACAATTCGTCCTAGAAATAATCTAACTCGCAGGAACTCAATTCAAGCATTAGTCCTCATAGCGTCAATTGATAATCATTATTCAATTATCCTATCTAATTTTTGTATAATATAAAATTGCCATTTTCAATGTTTACCACTCCATGGTTACCTCATCTATCATGTAATAATACTTATCACCTCGTTTTAAACATTTTCCATTTCACATTGGAACATAGAACGATTACATTCTGCCTAATTCTCCATAAACAATGATTTTTATATAATATATGGAATCGATACAATAACACTCTGCTCTTACGTCATATAAAAATTGCACGTTCGAAGGCTTCATTGCAATAGAGGGGGGTAAATAAAGAGAAATCTTTTTTTCCAACTATCTACTGGAAACGGTGATATACATCTGCTAAATTACTGTATCCATGGGTCCCAATGTAACAAATACTCAACAAAATACCATTCATCTCGCTCTTTAGGATGAATCTAAAGTTTCTCTAACTTTCCATTTCAACTATTGTGCTCTTCCAACGCTCCTCAATAACGGTATAATTTTTCTTTTTCATCTAGAAGACAGTAAATATTCGTCGGAAGGATAAAGTGAATGCTTTATCCTATTATTCGACGCAAGAACAGCCTTCAAAGTTTAGTTTTAGGCCCAAGAGTTTATACTCTTTAAATTTATTGATATTTTTCGAACTTGAGGCACATTGATCTTCATCATCACCTCCAGGAGATTAATGTGCTTTGCTATGTAAAAATATCCATAACTTTCGGCGGGAAATTGTTTCAAAAATTTGGAAAATTGGCGGCATTCTGTTACGCCCTCAATAGGAAATTTGCATGAATTTTTTTTCAATTTCTCAAGTTTGGGACTTGAATAATTCACTTTTCATTCACAAACGTTTGAAATATTGCTCGTTAATTAATAATTAATTGTTAAAAGTTGAAGATTTCAAACGCTTTGAAATTGCTAATGACGTTACACAGACGGTCGAGCGCTGAACTAATGACAGAATAGCTTGAGCAGACTTAACTCAATTCTGAGGTGCGCCTCGGCCAATAGAGGACGATAAGGCCCCACTCTCTTCTTTTTCGGCCAATGAAACGTTACCTGACCGTCTTTGTGACGTCATAACCGAAAAATTGATCTCGAAAACGATTGATTTTCAATTAATTATCACAAGACATCGAGCAATAGTTCTCCATAGTTTTAGCCGTTTAGTTGTCCATATGTTACGAGGAATGTGTGAATCGGGGAATTAGAAAGAATTGTGCTTCATGTAAGGTCCCTATTGAGAAATCTATATCAATGCTTGGTAGAAACATAGGTGATTCATTGAAGCGAGAATTCAAAGAAATCATTGAATGAAGCTTCGAGTTTTTCTGATACAAACGTAGTACGAAGTCTAAGAGGCATTAACGAATGAAAAAGGGGAGGGAAGAATCAGAAATATAACTTAAGGGAGACACTATTGAGATTTGAAAGTTTTACAATAAAAAAATGGCCTCTGTGAGATTTTTCTCACATATGTAGTCACTAAAAAAATATATTTTGACCCAGCTACGCCCACTCAATCTGGCAGGGCATTTAAAAAAACGGAATAACCCGATTTTGCCCTTTGAAGGTTAATCGGATCAAAGCAAGTTGACTAACTCGAATTTTTCGTATTTCGTTATTTTTTCGATTTCCGGGTGATTAAAATCAGAAATTTTTAGATTAAAATCTAAAAATCATCCGATTCGAATTTCCATCTATAGCTTTGTTTATTCCAGTGTTCTGAACATTGTGTATCGATTTCAAGACAATCGGAATACTTTTCCTCACTTTGTAGACTTTCAAAGGGCAAAATCGTTTTTATTTTTTTTTAATTCGCCGCCATAGTGGACGGGTGTAGATGGGTCAAAATATATTTTTTTAGGGACTACACATGTGAGAAAAATCTCACAAAGGTCATTTTGTTATTTCAGGACTTTCAAATTTCAGTAGTGTAACCCCTTAAGAAATGGTTATTTGTAAAGGGGCTGGATGGAACGAATCGAAAGTGATCTGAAGAGGACAAATAATTTCAATCAACATTCAAAAATTACGAAGAGATAGTAAATGTGGGTGCCGCCATCTTGCGCCTTTTGTCAGAAGAGGTTTTAAAAAAAATGGCGGCGCCCCCATCTTGTATTTTCAAATATTCCTTAAAATTATTTATCCTCTTCAGATCACCCTCTACTAATTTCATCTGGTTCCTGTAAAAAGAACAATTTTTTACGCTACTTCGCCTGTTTTTTCGTCCCCTTTTGGCTGAGAATTTATGACGCTAAATTTTCGTCGTATTTCGGTAGTTTTTTTCACTTCTCAGGTTTCTAAAAGAAGATTTGAATCTTGGAAACATAAAACACTTTAGTAAATATAAAGACGTGTTCCATCGCTTGTTTATTTCAGACAGAAGCAAATTTTTTTGAATTGATTCAAAGTAGAAAAAAATTTCGACTGTCTGCTAGATGAATACGCAGTCTTGAAAAATATTTGTTTTTCTCTTCGATATTGTGGATATCATAAATATATCATACGTTAGAAGGTATATAAATATATGAATCCTCAAAACTCGACCAGAAACACATAACATATTTTGCCGATGGACTTTAAACCTCAGGAACACGTCAAAATGATTGAGTTAAAAAAAACGCCCGGTTGAGTCTCCAAATAGACACGCGAAAAACAAGGCTATTAGCATTTAGTCAAGACTTCACCATGAACTTCATAAATAATACATTTTGAGGTGAAAATAATTCACAAGGTTGATATGAATTTCACAATAGTACGAATGGAAGTTAAGGTGCCACTTATCCACCTCCTTCGCCAATTTTAATGCGTTCAACCCCCAAATGAGTTACAAATAACTAACAAAAAAACATATTTTTTAAAAAATTAAGTTAATTTTGTGATTTTAGAAAAGAAGAATTTTAGAGAATTCTTTATCTCGATAAAGAATTTTCTCAAATCAGGTGCCCAATTAAAGGAATTATTCTCAACTCAATATCCAAAATATTCGATCTAATTTGATATTTTTAAAGCCTTTAAAAAAAAGAAAAAAAAAGTAATTTGTGGAAATGTTGAAATTTCAATGTTTTTTGAATGGAAAAATGTTCGTGTTGAAAGCAGGGCTTGTACTTTAGATTATGAGTTGAGATTTTATACAGATATTTTTAGTTATTTGAATCTCATCTAGGAGTTGAACGCATTAAAATTAACCGAAGAAGCGGTCAAGTGATACTTTAATGGAAATATGTAACTTTTATCAATAATATCGAAATAATTTCGACGATTTTGTTGAGTTACCTCTGTTCCTTCAGGACCTTTCGAGTTATGCACCACCAGTCATCCACCTTTAATTACATCTTTATGTAGTTTATGGAGTACTAAGTATCTTGTCCAATAACTATCGTGCCCACGTTTGCTTTTATATCAATCGATAACTAAAACTAATGTCTCAGAGAGCAGTTTTCTCGAAGGGAAAATCATAACAGAGGTAGATAATGATATTTATGTCCTTAGTCCGTGTCTGGATTCGTCTCTAAGTAACAATTGTTCTCATTTTGTTGGGTAGGGGTTGAATTCTGAAAAACACGGGGTTTACGAAATGAGCCTAGTGTGCATGATAACTACACTTTAAGGTAAAATACGTAGGGGGGCTTGAGGAAGGGAGGCGGAGTGATTTTAGACGTTGATGTACCTGGTGTCGATTTCAAAGGGCTCGTGTGAACTTGAGACTCCTGAAACAGAGGAAAGAGGGACAAATGTTATTTCTTAAAGTAGTATAAACGTAAATAAATTTTATAGTACATTTCAGGACGAGTGCGATGAGGTTTTCACTCGCGTTGCAGTTGGCGTTCAAGCCGAAGGCGATTTACTATATTAGCAAAAATAACTATACTCTATGCAATATAAGAGCAATTTTTTACTCGTTTTCTTTCAGGATTTCGAATTTGTTTATCTACGTTACACTTAACGGCTCACGTGGAGTTTGGATATTCTACTTTAAAAGGCTGAGCTCTCGCGCACCTCTATGACGTGAGAATAGACAAATGATGCGACAGGTTTCCGAGGAATTACGTCATGGCATGTGTGCGGCTTTTAAATAAGGATAGATGACCGAAGGGAGAGAATTATTAAAAAAATTTCCGACAAATTATTTTAGAAAGATTTATGGGACGAAGGGATTTAAGAAATTTTCGAAAATGCTTCCTTTGTGAAGAGTTTTATAAATCTTCATGACGAAAATGACCTTTGGGAACTTTCGAACTCATTCTTCTTTATCAAATCATCTTATCGATTGTCGATGAGTCTGCGATAATATCGATGAGTCTTAAATAAGTTATGAGAAGACCTTTTTCACGAAAAAATTGATCAGTTTCAAGATTACAAGCTTAAAAAGTTTTAGAGAGTTTCAAAATGTTGAAAGACAATTTTTTCAATACCTTTTTTGAGAAGAATTTCATAAATTATCGAAAGAGATTCTCTGATGTGTTTAGAATACATCCTCATAAACTTAGTAGTTTTGTAGATCTTTGTGAAACATAAGCGTTCAAAACTCATTCTCCTTTGTGAAATCATCTAAAAAATGAGTTCCTCTTGACATTTTCTCTGTTAAACACTCCTCAAGACTGTCAATTAACTAGAGATTTTGAAACCCGATGAGAAATTTCTCATTATCATAAACATCATCAAAACAATCCGCAATTTTTCTTTTACAAATTATTTTGCAAATATCTCTCGAACAAAGAAAAGGAACCAATTCCATAGGTTGTGAAGGAAGGTCTCTGATATATTTCTATAAACTTAGTATTCCCTCATGGCATAATGAAAAAAGTATTTAAAACTGTCAGTCATCCTTTCTTCCAAAATCAACTCGACAATGACTTCGAAAAAGTTATAAAACAATTTTTCTCCGAAAAATGTCTTCAGTTCTTAAACAAATTCTCTTGAAATTCTCTCCTGGAGCCAATCATTATGATAAATCAACTATAAACAATATTCCTAACAATGTTCTCATAAACTCCATTAAAAACTCTCAATATTATCACACGGTTTCAGCGGCAACAATAAAATAACAAAAAAAAACAAACCTTTTTCCCCTTCTTGCAGTCCTCATTCCGTTCCCCGAAGCTCTCCTTCCTCTTCACCTCCTCATAAACATCAACAATCCCCCCTCCACCCCCGTCACTCCCCCCAGGTCTGCCAGGCGCCCTCCTCTTGACCTTCACGCCTCCGCCCCCCTGGATCACCGTGTGCCCCCCATCAAACTTGACAGACTTCTTCTTTCTCCCACTCCTCACCCCCACATCACTCCCCAATTGTTCACCAATCTCCTTCCTCAAAATAACAGTACAGCCCATCTCCTCACTGCTCCCCCCAACCCTAAACCTCGGTGAATTGCCCCTCCCCCCAACCCCCTCCCAATTCATTCCCCCAACCCCATCACAATCCCGACATTTAGAATAATCACTGGTCACATTAACACTAATCTCATAATTCCTGACAAAGCTCCTAACCCTCCCCGGAGTTATTCCATCCATGAAATCCTCCCGACTCCTTAAATCTACATCTGTCATGTCATCATTATTGTCGTTAACATAAACTCCATTAGATCTATCTATGGCACACTTATCATTAAATTTATCATCAATAGTTACATTGTTACCCTCAATATGACTAATATCATTTCCATCATTTTGGCAATTAACGTTAGACACTAAACTACAGTCATCAGTCTTTTTATCTACCCTACAGGCACTGTTCACCAGTGATTCATCACCGTTTCTAACATCATCGTACGTAACATCACCCTCAACTCGTTGATCTCTATCTGCTCTGTCGACAGCCTTAACCGTTTTTAATTTGATAGAATGAAAATTACTGAGAAGCTCATTCATCACCTCACACTTGATCGTTCCAGCATTCTTACCCATCACCAGTGGATTTTTCAGCCTCAATGTTGGCTCGTTGCCCGCGATACTTTCACCAACATTCTCGGTCTTATCGATTTTAACGAGTGCACCGATGCATTCATCAGACAATTCTAAATCACTGGCTTTTGACTTTGGATGAGTAGCGATTATCGAACACGTTGTGTCATCGTCAATGCTACCGGGGTAACTCTCCTCACTCAGCATCTTATCGAGGAATGAATTTCTGAGGAGATGCGACACTTGATCCAGATTCTGAGGGGATGGGATGGGGTTTGGAATCGATTCGTTGAGCTCATCAGGTTTTATAGGATCAGGTGGTGATGCTGATTCGATTATTTCGTGAGACGTAGGATGATAGATTGATTGATCAATTGGTGGATCGATTAATGCATCAATTGATGGATCTTCGGTCGACTTCCCAGTTTCTGATGTCATCTCGTCATCATGAGGATCATTTTTCCTGGAAGGAGAGTCTATTATCTCCTCGATCTTTAATGGAGAACGACGACCAGACACCCACCAATCCTCCGACTCAACTCCCAGGAATGATTCAGAGTTGTTTACAATGTTCAGGATCTCGAGGTCCTCTTCTTCCTGCGTTGGTACCTCTGGAGGGTCCGCGGGTTCGATGATGAAACGAACTTTGGGAGGGGTTCTGAGGGGGAGAGCATTGGTTAAATCTTCTTCGAAGGAGAATGACCTTGATGTTTCTCGTCTTTTACTCCGATCTAGGTAATCATCGAAGGCGAATTGATCTGGGGCTTCCGAGTCGAATGTCAAGCTGAAGGTGTCACTGAATTTTTCGAAGGGAGAGTCTGTTGTTGTCACCCTGAACAAGACGTCATCGAAGTTGTCGTCGAAGTTGCTGTTTGAGTCATCGAAGGTGATTGGCGAGGATTTCTTAAAGGCAGGGGATTCCCCGCCGGTCGATGCTGACATCACGTTCTCGAAGTCCTTCAGGGTGAAGAGTAACGGGGGGTATCGGCTCTTTGCATTCTCAGCCAGTTCTTCCCGTCCTGAGGTTAATTTATCCCGAGGGCTCTTGTCGTTATTACCATTGTGGGGTGGCGATTCAATGGCGACGATTGAAATTGAGGTCGCTGTACGTGAGGAGGGAGGCACTGACGTGTTGTTATTGGATTTCGGTGAATCGAATGGTTGGTGCATTGCCGGTGCTGGGGATTTTCTTATGCGTGATAAATTTACTGGTGATGGGGGGGTTGGGGCTGTGGCACCCTGGGGTAATGGCCGACGACGTTTTCGGCGAGGCGGCACTGGAGGTGGGTTTTCTGGGTCGACTGGAACAGATAAAAATTCAATTTTGGAAGAATTTTCGTTTGATATTCATGGGGACATTCGGAATTGATGAACGTGGGAATTGTTATTGATGGGAAAACATCTAAAAATGTCTATTCATATTCGACTTCTTGAAGGATTTCTGTAATCATTCGGGAATGAGCAATGATGACATTAATCCTTTCTAAAAAAAAAGCATGGGCAATATCTCAAATCGAAAATGAGAACTCGAACATGGCGGATATCTCGAACTAATGGAGAAAGTAAGCCAGTTTTCATGAGTGCAGGCGTCTTGCGTAGAATTTTCATGAAGCCCGCGTAACAAACAAAAGAGAACTGAATACCATTCCATTAAATATGAATAAAATTTGATTTAATAGTGTAAATAAATCTCATAGATTTACGAACTTTGAGCAATAAAATAATATTTTGAAAAGTCATCAACAATCATATACGCTTCTTACGAATTCATACATAATCTAACAACTACAATGAATATTCAATAACAATTTCGAATCAATGTCATAATTTGCTTCGTATTTTGATGAATATCGAATTATCTAGTAAGTAATTGAGGATTTCTAAAGGAAAATGTTGAAAGTTATTTCCGATGTATTCTAAGAAAATCATATTACCAATAATGAAAATACAATTAAGAAGAATATGAAATTCAACTGATCACTAGATCCGCCAAAAATCTCTTCATATTTATTCCAAAGAAGTCCAGTAAATGACACGCATGGACGGAAATTGCTGGAGTTATCACCCTTCCATTCGTGGTTAACAATTATAAGCTCTAGACTAATGAGAGAAGGAAAGAAATGTCGAAATTTAATTTAACATTCAGAGAATATAATGAATAGCGAAAAAAAACTTGTAGATTTACGAGCTTTGAGCAATAAAATAATATTGTGAAAAGTCATCAACAATCATACCCGCTCCTTACGAATTCATACATAATCTAACAACTACAATGAATGTGCGATAACAACTTTGAATCAATGTTATAATTTGCTTCATATTTTAATGAATATCGAATTATCTAGTAAATAATTGAGGATTTCTAAACGAAAATGTTGAAAATGTTATTTCCGACGTATTTTTAGAAAATCGTATTACCAAAATGAAAACACTATAAATGAAAACACAATAAAAAGAATGCGAAATTCAACTGATCACTAGATCCGCCAAAAGTTTCTACATCAATTTCCACAACCCAGAATTTATAGAAAAAAATCTTTTCATATTTATTCCAAAGAAGTCCAGTAAATTACACGCATAGACGGAAATTGCTGGAGTTATCACACTTCCATTCGTGGTTCAAAATTATACACTCTAGACAAAAAATAAAAAAATGCAAATGTCAAAATTTAGTTTAACATCAACATAACTAGATCCGTTAAAAATTTCTTCATTAATATCCATAACTCAGGATTTACAGAAATAAATCTCTCCCTATTTATTCCAAAGAATTCGAGTAAATTTCACGAATAGAGGGAAATTGGTAGATTTATCTTACTTTTATTCATGGCTATAAATCGAGGTGAAATGAAAATTCTTTTCAACCCCGGAAATCGCGATAACCTGGAGGTAGTGGCCAGGTGAGTTTGAACGCTCGGCAACGACTGGAGGATGATTCCTTAGGAGTGAAAGATTACTTTCGAGTTTACCCTCCCCTCTCGCCCCTCTTTCCACTACTTCTGTAATACTCGTTCAATAACAATGTCACACGGATTGTATTGTACAAATGTGGAACTGCTGAAGTTGAGGGCATTCGTCAATACATGTATTTACCATTTTATGTGAAAGACTGACGAATAATCAATTTAAAGAAAAAGTCACAGTGTCAAACGTCAAAATACTGCAATTGCGTTTACGCCTCGATTAGTTCAATCATCACTTGAATTTATTTCGTCAATATTTGATTTAATATCGACTATCAATAATGTTAATTAATGAACTGTCAATGTCCCAATCTTTTTTGTTATCCTAAATTATCAATTGATGGACTTCATTATCAAACTGGAGTGCCTCATAAATATTGAATGACTGTCAATATTGAAGAAGCGGTTGGAGAATTGGCACTTGCGCAGAGCTGTACTTTTTCCATGGCTTCGTTAACGAGATAGACTGTAATTTAATTAGGGAGGTAACTTATACCATCAAGTTCATTGATTCCACTTTCGAAATGACGGAACTTAGATCCTCAAGAAAAGGATTTGTCGTTTCAAGGGGAAATAATAGTGGATTGACTGTTGGAGGGCAGGGATGCGAAATTACGTCACGTGTGACGTCAATTTTTCACACGTCATAGTTTCGGTCATACTTTCCGTTGCTATTTCAATCCAACTAGCTAGATGTAAACTGACAGCATTGATCGGCATCAATCATTAGTTCGAAGGGCTACTCACTCCATAACGGCGTGACAATATGATTTCGAAATGAAGTCGATTTCGGGTGATTCCAGCGATGATTTCAGTGATTTCGGAAAAAATTAATTCGGTGATTTCGAGCGTCACGGGAGCTGATTTCATGATTTCGAATAATTTCATTAACCCTAGATTGGTCACCATTTGAAGGAACCCCGCCCCGCCTCGTTTTTCTTCAATTAGAATTGACTGCCTAATCGGAAAAATTAAAAAAAAAATTGACTTTGTCAATTGAAGTGTCTAAAGAATTATAGTAGTTTTTAGAACAACATATTTCCCGGAATTCCTAAAGAAAACAAATTATTTCGAACAGATGCATTATTTTTTCCCATGTTAAATGAAATTGCCCATCACGCGACGTTGCCGGAAGCTCGCTAAACGCGCCCGGGCAGTGTAGAATGAATTCGGCAACGCTATAGCCTAAATAACACGGCGGGGAACCCCCGGGGTAGGTGACCACAGTCACAGAGTCGCGTTTGGTTACCAGGCTAGGGGGTAATTCGAAATCAGTGATTTCAGAAACATTGAAGTCATTGAAATCACGATGAATAAAGTTAATAAGTAATAGAGGTGAGGCAAAAAGGGTAGTGTCAAATTATAAAATTCAAAGGTGGCAAATAATAACGAATTCGTTTGATTCCAATACGCCAATCCTGAGCTAATGACGATGAAAAGCGGTCCATTTCACCCCAGTCTCCACTAATAATTCGCAAATAACAATCCATTTCAGAACTTTATATTAGAAAACAAAAGCTAAATGAATGATTTCACACATAGATCGTTATGTCATTAACTCATTTAAAAATATTTTTTAACTTCATCAAAAATTCTCTCAGGGAGCCTTAGATCTCCACTCTCAGTGATCAGAGGAGGAGAAATTGTTGTTCGATACCGGCTTATATTAATGTAGCCGTGAAAACTCATTGGCTCCGACTTTAACTATTCAGACTTTTATCCACAATATATCAATGGCAAAGAACAGCTACATTCTCGTTATTACCACTGACACAAGCATATTCGCTCGAACACTCCCTGCTTCGCAGAGTTTTCTCCTCTGAATAAGGGAAATTCAGCACATACCCTAATAAACGAATAGGATACTTTTCCTCCTGAAATAAACACCAATCACCGATATCGATTTTATGGCACGCCGTGCAATAAGTCGAGTTTATCGCACGCTGCGCTTCGCGCAGCGTTATTGAAAAATAATAAAATAATTGATAATTTACATTATGAATTGACTATGAATTAAATAACTGACAATATGGAACTGTCACTAAAAAAAAAGGATGGGAAATATCGAAAATCGTAAATGAGAACTCGTATTTTTGCCGCATATCTCAAACGAATGGATCAAGTAAGGCGGTTTTCATGAGTACCATCGTCTTGCGTAGAATGTTTATGAAGCCCGTCTAACAAATAAAAAAGAATTGAATACCATTCTATGAAGCATGAATAAACTAATCATAATTGCCCAAATAATTTAGGTCAGAGAAAAATAGAATAATTCCACTTTCTTAATATTTTATCATCTGCAGTCAGCGTGATGTAATAGAAAATGAAACAAGCACCCTAAAAACATCATTTCTTCACGTTTCTTAAAATTCCGGACCATTTGCAATCAAAATAAAAGAATCGAAAAATTGGTTAAATACAAGCAAAAATCTCACCTTTTTAAATAAAAACTTGACGACTCGTTCTGCTAACGTCAAAGTCCTCGATGCTCAGCAACATACTGGCTGAATTGAGTGCAAAGCCATCCTCAATCTGATACACGTTGATATTGTGATTACCCATTGCACTCGAGGCAGCACTGCTATATGCACTGGACGTATTCTGCACTGAAGCAACATCCCCGCACTTATGGGATAGCCACTTGCTAGTCATCCCGGACACGTCGGCCTCCGACGAGATATCAAATCTCAAATTTTGGAGATAATTATTAACAATTGGCTCCTGGTGATGTTGCCTCAGTGCATCAGCTCTGTTAGATGTGAACTGAGATAAAACGAGCTCAACAGTTTCCGATGAACTCTGCAGCAACTTCAGGGCATCCTCGTAACGGAGATTAAGTAAACTCTGCCCGTTTATTGCGACAATTCTGTCACCTGGAATAATTACCCAATTTGAGTTCTATTCTACTATTCTTACCACTAATGAAAACTTTCGATGATGAAAATTGAGATTTATATACATTGACAATATTATGACATAGTCAGAGACGATAAAAAAAATATATATAAATTGATGATTTTTTTAAAATACATTCTTTGATATATTAAGAAACCATGTGCAAAGTTTCCGATTGCCTAGGAGTTTCACAATAACAAAAATAATTTTCGAAGTTGCTACTTATGCATGAGGTTAAGTGGGATATCAATAACTTTAGCATTTTCCCTGCATTATCGATCAGTCGGCAATATGGAAAAAATGCTGAACTTATCGGTGCTTATTCAACCCCGTATGGACGTCGCCATCTTGCCTCCACCTCGTATTTTTAAACATTCCTTAACATTATTTATCCCCTTCATATTATCCCCAACTCGTTTCATCTGGTTCCTGAGAAAGGAACAAATTTTAAAGCCATTTTTCAGATTTTTTCATCCCCTTTTAGCTGAGAATTCATGGCGCAAAGTTCAGATTACTGTCATTAATTTCTTCTCAAGTCATGAATCAAGTTATTTATGGTTCGAATTGAAATAGCATAAAAACGTAGGTAGTTTTCCGTAAACTTAAGATTCACTGGAAAATTACGACGAATAAAAAGGAATTGTACCTTTATTGACATTTCCAGCCATATCGGCGGATCCTCCAACGGAAACTGCCTGGACATATACTCCTCCGTCGTTACCCTCGGTAACCTGCAGCCCTATACTCCCCCCGTGACCCCTTTCCAGCTTTATCGTATGGAGAATTCTCTCCTCGGTGAATGACAACTCCTCGAGTCTCGCCACCAGCGATGCTGACATGCTCTCGTCGTTGGCTATTCTAAATGTCTCATCGTCAGTTCTGATATCTGCGTCTGATATAAAATGTTGTCGTTACCATCCACTTTTTATCACTAAATTCATAGCCTTTTACAAGAAGGCTAGAAGAGTTTCTATTGATACAAGTGGTTTTTTCCTTGAAAAATGGGAAATAGCTGTATGCAGCTACTTACCATGGAAAGTTGTGACACGAATTGTCATAGGAATTTTTTGGTGTGGGAAAAATTTAGACTCGAGTTTTCGAGAAATTTTGAAAAAATTATTTTTGAGGGATTTATGTATGTGGAGTCATCTCATTTGATTTGCGTCACAAAATTATATGACTTGTCTGTTGTTAGTGAATATTCACACAATTATGTGATACTCCAATAAAATTACTACAACTATAAATATTATGACATCAATCCGTACTCTTCTTAACAATTCGTCATAAATCAAAATTACTATTCTTTGCATTCTATAATATTTTCAGTCATCCCCACTCAAATTTCGTGAAACGAAAATTTCCACAATAGCAAATATGCTCTCATTCAAACAGAAAATGTATCTGATACTTGCTCCTGACCGAGAAAATAATTCAGTAGCGAAGCGGTAAAATTTAAGCCATCTTAGCTATCCGCTGAGTTTTTAAGAAATATCTACAAATCGAGAGATAGAGAACTTTCCCTAATTGCCTTGTTTGAAACGCAACTAAAATTCCAAAACATTCTGGTCGACTAGCTCGGCCACCTTCGAAAATCTCCGGGACCCTTCGGGTCATCAATCATAAGGGTCAATCAAGGGTCACGGGTAAAATTCGGGGAATCAAAGAGTTCAGAAAGCCCTTATGGATGTGATAGTAAGAATCAAATGACATGTGCATAAGAAGGTCATGAGGGTCAGAGGGGATCGTATAAGTGAGCTCGAATAAAAAATTTGGGGTTCGCATTCATCGATGATTTCTAATTATTTCAGAAATCACCTGATTACTTTATGATTTCTGCTGATTTTCGATGATTGCCAGACGTCATAAGAAATCACTACTAAAAATGGAAATCACTTGATTCCCAGTGACTTTTTGTGATTTCTTCCTTGATTTCCAATCAAACGGTCCAGTGATTTTCTAAGTGACCTGCCCCTAGGCTCTACCGCTTCGCTACTGAATTATCTCTCAAAAAACTTTCTCCATGTGAATTTCGCAAAGTCAAAGAGAAGAGGAATTAAGTAAAAATGTATCAAAGACAGTTGAAAATAAAATCCTCTATGATTTTATTTTGCAAAAAAATCCTCAGAAATGGCGGGCTCGTAAAGAGGATATAGACTCTGAAGGGATTATAAATGGATCTCTCGCAGGTAAAATAAAAATGAAAATGAAAATCCCAACTTGGCAGGAAAATACCGCTAATGATTTAAAAATTTTCACATTTACGGGAAGTAGAGGAAATGTACAGGAGTAATACGATCAAGAGAAATGCTGAAAAAGGTATCAGTAAACTTGAAAAATCTCTTTCAACTCACTGAGTACATAAGCCTCGGGCATCGGAGACTCTGTGGAATGTACAGATGCCGATTGAATCGAGGAGGCGGTGTCTGATTTCAGCGAGAGGGATTCTAGGTCGTCGGCAAGGCTGGGATCTCGTTGAACCAGACTGCTGTATATCGCCCGAGTTCCCATTTTTACCCCCAGCCGCCGTGGAAGACTCGGTGTCCGGAAACCAGTGCTCTGACGTGGAGTTCCGTAGTTCGGGAGGCTCGATGTTTTTACCTGCATTTAGTAAAACAATTTTTTAAGTAAAAAGAAATCGTATAAACTGAAAACTATCGATATTCCACTAATATAAGGGTGAATGTAGTGCAATCCATTGATTGCAGTTAAATCTCTGTATATAAGATACTTTAAAAATTATATGAATTTAATTTTGTTGTTCATTCTCATGATTTTCAACTCCGTGGATTAAATTTGAGAAATTTTGAAGAGATTATAAAATAAAAAATGCAATATTTTGACATGAATTTCTAGTAAAATATCGCGAAACTCAATCAAGACATCGAAATTTTCATAGATGTCTTCACGGAAAAAAAAGTTGGAGAAAAATAACCAACAACTCATGTAATCGAGAGTAAAATGCATTTCTAGATCTTTTTCACCGTAGGGTAAACAGTTCAATTTCGGGAAGGGGATTAGTTTCTGGACGATTTCAACTTGCATTCAATATTCCATAAATAAAATGAAAATTGTACTGATTATTTCACCTTTCAATAATATTACTCGTGTATAATCATGTGATAACTCATTTTTTCTATTGATCGGCATCAAATAAATAAAAAAAAATACGGCCCAGTCGTCCAGAAATTGTGGGTTTTGGCTGCATTCAACTATTTCTTAATTTAATTAGTCTTTGTTTTATTATTCTCACTTGAAATAATTTTGTTCTGCTAATTAAAACATTGTTGAAGGTATGGAAGCCATCATATCCCCATTTAGGTGATTCTTTTATTTTAGATCTTACCGTGAAACTCGAATTTCCCTTAACCGTCCGGTAATTACTCTGTTCACCCTATATCAGGGCAAAAAATGCGAGAAGAATAGTGAACTTTACTTCGCTGACTTGGAAAAATTGAGTAAACGCGAGGGTAATTTGTTTAAATTATCCCGTGAATGCGAAAGATTGTTCAATATTGCATAACCATTCACATGTGTGGAGAAATTTTTCTGTGCCAGAGAACAATATTTTTTATCAAACGCAATGTAGTAAAATTTTACTTTCGTCCGTCCCACACTGAGAGAAAAACAGCAGAGTTCTCAAACAAGTTTTACTTGTACCAAATGAGTCGTTTGTTAAAAATGAATAAAAAAGGATTTTTTTGTGCCAAACATGCGAAGCATGCGCCGAGATTGAAAACTTATTCCAAAAAAAGATTTAGTCTTTTCAAAAAAATTGTATTCTCTGTGCAAGCAAGAAATGTCATTTTTAGCACTACTTCCTCGTTATTAGATGCCCCCGGCCAATGCTCGTTTTATATGAAACGAGGAATAGTAGTCTGTCGTTTCGGTTATGCAATAATTATAGAAAAGAAATGAATTCTTCAATGAAATAATAATAAGATGACAGCAATTTTATAACTTAGGGACAAAATATTAGGTGGGCTAGGCATATTATGGTGTGATTCGATAAATATTATCATAAAGAATATTTTAACGCCAAAAAAAGTTCATTTTTTTAGTAGTTTTCAAGATATTGAGAAAAGAAAAGGTTTTTGGAATAACTGTATCTTAAAAACAACAGTACCGATTGAACTGAAATTTCGAGCCAAAATTTCAGATTTTTATCTATCATTTTAATCCTTTTTCTGTAAAAATGTATAAAAAAAATTCCCAGAATTTTGTACGCATATTCGGACGTACAGACATTCTTTAAGAACATCATATCTCGACGTTTCATGCCATTCTAAATAATTTCCAATTAAACTTAGAGAATCAAAAATCGACCGATTACAAGACTTCCGTCCGGAAGCAAAAAGAATTGCAATCATACCTTCGCAAGATTCTTCGTCGCCCCATTCTTTCCCGACACATCCCAGACCTCCTCTGGCGTGGGATAGCCATTCTTTTTGCTCAAAGACTTATTGATCGCTGCATAAAGTTCCTCTGGATGTTTAACTTCCACCCTCTCCTCACTCGACCCCTGCTTAACCCCCCCATAAGTCCCCCCAATATTCGAGTAACTGTAGTCGCCATCAGCCCCCTTATCCCTGGCCTCCCCCTCGGCTTCCTCAATCCTCATCTGCCTCTCCGCTCTCTCCCCCTCATCCTCAGTGTCCCTGGACGCCCCCTCAGGCTCAAGCCTCGCATTAACCTGTGCATAAAGTGCATCCTCCTCAGGAGTATAACAAACTGGCTCATCATCATCGCACTTTCCCTGCCCCACATCCCTCTGAGGATTCTCATTCTCCTTATTCTGCAACTCCTCCAAGGGAATAGCTTTCTGATCACCACCCTTACCCCCCTCAGCAATAGATATCTTCGATGATGAAGTTTTCCCACCACTCTTTACCTTCGGCGAGTTACTCTCAGTCGTCAATGCCACCCCAAAGTCCTTATGCAAACCCTGGAGCGAAGTAAGCTCAGACTTGAGTTTGAGGAAGAATTGATGATGCAGTGATGTGAGTTTAAACGCATAGTAACTCTTCTTATGATCCATTCGAAGTTTGAATTTCGCCCTTTTTCCCCCAAACTTTGTGTAAACAACTAGGCAATTCTTACTGTAACTCAGTGTCTGAATATCTCGCCACTGAACGCGAATTAATTCGGTCCTTTCTCTAGGTCTACCAGCCCGCTCAAACAACTTCAACCCCTGGCCGTGTATGGCGAGCCACACATTGGTCTCCGATTTTTTAGATCGAGACTTATTGTGACTGTTGTTACTGATGTTATTGTTGTTCTTTTCAGCAACACTCACGCCGGAGGGTTTCTTCGGAACCGAGTAAATGTCGTCTTTATGATTTTTCATCATCTCTGTGGGTTCAATATTTCCGTAAGTCGCCGGCCTCGAATATTCAATTTTACCGTACAGTGAGTAGTCGGCGCCATCAATTTGATATATGTTATCAGTGTCAGGATATAATGCACGATCAGCGGGGCCGCTTGGTGGGTGATTTGCCTCGATTTTTTTAATTCTATCGGCAATTTTTTCCAACTCCCTGGTGTCCACTGTGGCGATGTAAAAGTGTGAGCCGTAATCGTGAAGGCCTTGTGCATGAGTTATGAACATTTCTTCAGCGCTATTCGCGTCAAGACCACGACGATCGCGATGGGCTTGATGCAAGCGGGATTTCAGGGCCTCTGTGGTCAAATGGGAATTCTGATGGTCCGGATTGAGAATAAGCGACTCGGGGATGTAGTGTTCTAACAGGAAATAATCACCTCGTCCGTGCTCCTGATGGGAAAAACAATCCCTTAGAATTGCATTCTTGAGGGACAAGTGCAGGGGAATTTTATCCAGATACTCACGTTTACACTGTAGTTACCAAACTCCGCCTGCAGGGCTAGACCCGTTAGGTTAACGAGTTGGGTCAAAGGGCAAACTAATTGCTGCTCCAGTATGCATCTTCTTATTTGGAGATAGAGCAAGTGCTTGGATATCCAACTTCTGAAATGAGGGGGAAAGAAATTTTAGTGGAGAAGTTGGTAAATGCATGTTCTCTTGATAATGAGATTTTTATTTGTATTGGAGAAGGATTTTTTTACTGGAAATTTTCTTGGACAAACTTTATTTGCACGACTTCAACCTCTTTGGGGTATCCCATTTCTTTAGAGGATGCTTATGTACGTGGCAATATTGAATTTTCATATTTTGAAAATTAAGGAATTCGATAATTCAAAAAATTAACGAAGTTATAGTGATTTAGTATAACCATTTCTCCTTTTAAAAAAGGAGAATCCCCTACCTACCCTTATAACTATTTATAACTATGGGTGTCTATAACTATAGTTATGGCTATAGTAATACTTATGAATTAGAGTTAAATTATGGCTGAATAGATCGGTGACAGAAAACATTACATAGACGTTTTTTAAGGGACTAGAAGAGGACGCGCGCTTCGCGCGCGTATTTTTTCCATGGGTAAATACGCGATATGGTTTTACTACTTTTCAGAGTAGTAAAACCTTACCGTTCCTCACTTTCGTTAATTTATATCTCAATAATATGCAGGAAAAAAAATGGTTTCAACAAAGTTTTTCACAATGGAAAATTAATTGTTGAATAATTTACTCGGAATCGTCATAATCATCTTCACCTTCTTTTTCCTTTCTCTGTTGCTTTTTGTGTTCTTTTTTTTAGGGATGTACTATGTACTATATACATATATACTATCTTATATATATTTTTTTTTACATAACTGTATTAATTTTTTTACGGTTAAACAAAATTACAGTATAAAACATATCAGTAGTGAAGTGGTAAAACGGTAGAAGTCAATTTTGACTATTGACAAGTTTTCAATGAATATCTCGGAATCTAAGGGAGATGGCAACATTTCTGTTATAACCTTTTTGGTAGAGCCGACTGATAGCTACAACAAATGTAATGACGAAAATTTCGCTATCTCCCTTAGATTCGGAAATATTCCCCAAAAACTCAATTGGGAGATGAGTCGACTTAAACCGTGTTACCACTTTGCTAGTGTATATAGTATGTATTATATAATATATACATATATACTATGTTATATATGTATTTCTTTTTTACAATGAATTTCATTTTTTTACTATCACTGTAAACAAAAGATTACAGTACATAAAAAAATATATACAGACATCATCTTACATCACTTGATAAGCGGAATAGAGGCTTCAAAAATCGTTACACTTGATTTTTCAAAAGTGAATAATTCGTCGCAGTAATTATGATAAAAGGTGATTTACCTGATTCCTCTCAAGGAGGGAAGGAAGAATCGCAGACGTAGATAAAGCATAAAGCTGGTCGGCAGACCCAGGGGACCCTTACTTTTGCCACTATTTAACCAGCCTGGAGGCGCTACCTTATTTAGCTTAGTCTCCGGTGGTAACATAGCAAAATCCCCGGCCAATAATGCCGCCAGACCAAGGGTAAAGTTCTCGTCGAGTGATTCCGCTTGAACGATTGCCTGTAATAGAAGCAGCCGAGTTGATATCTTCGATTTCTATTATTATTCCCAATCTCTGCTACAAAAGGAAAAAAGGGGGATAAAATATCTATTCTGAATTTTTCATTATTTGCATGCAATCTTTTCTATCATGGATGCTAGCACCTTTTGAATATTTTTTTTTCATTTTCACACTGTGAATTCGCAATCGTGATTCGAAGGCTCCAGCAATATGGAATCGAGTGAGAAAGGCTGAATATAACAATATCTGGAAGTTTTTAATGAGAAATGTCCTATCGGATAAAACTCAAAGTGAAGGAGAATTTCGGGGCTGAAACTTTATTAAAAAGTTGAACCTTAAACTTCCGATTACGTATACGTAGCTACGGTCTCGACTCATTAAAATTTCCACAGATGATCTTCTTTTAGGAACGGATGATGGATCAGTGTGAGAAGTGGATTATTTGTAGAGTTGGAAGAATAGTGAAAAGCGGATAAACTCTAGCTTTTCGGAGATTTACACTGTGTGGTTTTTGAAGTACGTGAGAAGTTACGAGATCACAGGTAGCATGGAAGTGAGGGAGAAATGGTTTCTGGCAAATTGCCCAGTTTTGCCTTTAGCCTGAGGATGTTGGAATTTGCTAGATCAAGGGGTTAAACCCTCTTGACGAGCTTCAGATGGTTTTGGTTACGAATAGCTTTCAAACTATTGGATTTACGCTGTTATGAATGGGTATTTTATCAGTCAATATGATTGGATAAATTTATCACTGTAACACTTATCGCTCAGCCGCCATTATTGGCTCTTGTGGATGAGAGAGGGGTCAATGAATTACAGCATATGACTGCTCTCCATCGAGGTGGCGTTTTGCATGAATGCCATCAATCAATCTTTGGTTATCGTTCCATCGGGGTGAAATTGATTTTAGATTTTTTGCTTTATGTTTTCAGTGGGTTTTAATTGAATTACCTGAAAGAGCTCGCCGGCTGTTATCTTTTGGGGATCACAGGTCACGTCAATCCGTTGTCCAGTGAGTAATATCACAACTATTCTTCCGCCACAGCCGTTCTGAAGTCAAGATTTAAAGATAATTATTAAATAAGTGTAAAAATAAAATTGTTTTGTGCCCGGTGGCCTGGCGTAGTGGTTAAGGCCGTTGCCTCACAACGGATAGGTTCCAGGTTCGATTCCTGGCCGGGTAGAATGGTGAGATCTAACCATTTTTAAAGTCTTGATCAATCGCCATATAGTCTCATCAGACTCGAAGCGATATAAAATAAGCATAAAAAAAAAAAAAAAAATTGTCAGAAGTGGGATTCGAACCCACGCCCACAGAAGTGGACTGCGACCTGAACGCAGCGCCTTAGACCGCTCGGCCATCCTGACTTGTGGCGGCGATTACCACCCAAGGGCACTTGGGAAACGAAAATATATTTTTAGTCTTTGAGGAATACTTTCGATGGTGAAGAACCACTTTTGTATGAACACATTTCAACTAATCCGGTATGGTCTAGTGGTTAGGATTTCTGGCTTTCACCCAGGCGGCTCGGGTTCGATTCCCGGTACCGGAAATTTTTTTATTTTTTTTTACGTTTTTTATTTAAAATATCATTCTAAACAATTTTCCATAACTTTTTTTTACATTTTTATAGTTTTTCATGAAGTAATTTATTGTTTAGTGATGAACTTTCGATCAGCTGTACAGTTACGTATACTGAGTCATTTTTGATAATTATAAAAAATTGTTATGTAATTTTTGGAGAATTTTCAAGGTTTTATGACGTAATGAAAATGGTGAGCTTCTTCACGCGAGAAAGTTATCTGACTTGATAAGAGGTATGCGGCGTACTCCTCAGAGCCGGTGTGTTACTAAAGATAGGCCTGCAGAGCTACGGACAGTTAACCAGTGCAGAGTGTGAATATTAAATGGATAGGTAGCCACACAAAAAAATCAACTTAAGGCCCGTGTGTACCATCTTTCGAATGTTATCTGGATTTTTTTTATCTTTCGTAATCCAAAATTGTCAATTGGGTAGCACATCATGTAGAAATTCCCAAAAATTATGATAGAATGATAAAAAAAATAGAAAAAATTCTGAACATTTTCAAAGAGCGTTTTTAATTGAGATTCAGAATGATTTGAAAAAAGTGGAAATCACAAATTTCTGATTCGCTGTGCCAAATTATCTATTAGCTGTCATTTTCCATGGTGGATGGCAAAACACTAACTCGTCATGGAAAGTGACAGCTAAGTATCTCAATTTTCAAAACAGTGGTATGTAGTCATCTGCCATTTTTATGTGATAAAAGTGATTAAAAAATTTTCCAAAATATTACAACTTTTTCCAAGAGCCTTTTCCGTAATAAATGTCTTTGTGCAGTGTAGGAAAAGATTTACGAAATCAGTCTTCCCTCTGCATGATATTGGGTGACAGACCGTCATTTGTTACCGTACATCAGATAAATTTTTCAATTTCTTGTTATTCAACTTATTCTGTATTAGTATATTAGAGTACAAGGGCACAAATTTCGTTTTCAACGAATGTGTAGTTTACAGGCCGAGCCGAAGGCGAGGTCTGTACACACATTCGTTGAAAACGAAATTTATTACCGAGTGCTCTATAATATTTTATGTCAAGTCGTGCAGAAGTCGAGTTTTGAGCAAGCTGCGCGAAGCGCAGCGTGCGATAAACTCGACTTATTGCACGGCGCGACATAAACAAATTAAAAATGCTCTTTGAAAAAATTAAGAATTTCTTCCACTTTTTTTTGATTATTCATTCATAAGTTTTCAAAACTTGTGCATGATGCAGGACTCAATTGACAATTTCATATGACGAAAGATGAAAAAAAACATCGAAATAACGTTCGAAAGGTAGTACACCCGGACCTTAAGTGTGAGCTTTGTCTTTCGACAATAGCTGTGCTCTTCACTCTTTAGGTCGCCATAACCTCCAAACGGAACGACTTTCTGTTGTGGAATACTATATTAAACACCAAACTATAACTGAGCTTTGTTCTAGCTATTTATTAGCAATTAATTTCCCTACTCGGGCGTGGTGCCTAATCCACCTGCCCCAATTGTTCCCACGGACGTGTCCTATAGTAGAAAATGGTAATCATATCATCAGATTTGGGGCCTAAATTTCTACAAACTGACGTAAAATAACGAGTTCATCTTTCCTTTGCGCATAACAAAGTCACTTTTTGAAAAATTCTTGTAACGCCTTTTTGAAACCGGATACAAAAAATATTTTTGACAAGCATTATGTTTAAGGATTTTTAAGTATGTTTTAAAGTTTGATATGGACCACATCATAAATTTAACAATTTTCAATCATCAAATTTGTCAATTAAATTGCGTGAGAAAAATTGAAAAAAAAAATCATGAATATTATATTAATATTTAGCACAGAATTCTCATTTTTTTCAAAATTCGTTGTTTGTAAATAAATATCAAAAATTGCTTAAACTTTCGGGAACCTTATTTTTTTAGGCATTAAATCGATTTCTGGTCTAATCTTGAATGTGAATAAATTTGATTGTTGGAATTTGTTAATGTGGAAAAATGATGGTTTATAATTTATTTGTACAAAATGGTTGTAATTTTCAAAAATTGAAATTTTTAAATTATTTTAGCAATCTTCCTTTAAAAGTGAGCTTTCTAATTTTTTTCCGATTTTTAAAATGCTTTATAACGCTTTAATATCGAGATTCAAATTCAGACCTGTAAAGTTTAAATGATAAAATCATTGTAAAACTTCGGGAAACTAAGGGTCAAATGATGATGTTCAACTACAATAGAAGAAAAGCAAAAAATTGTCAAAGTCCTTAGATAGCTTTAATATTTAAAGCTCGTGTTTTTCGGCATGAGTTCAATGTATTTTTTTTTCATTTCTATAATGAACAAATTAATACTAAAAAAACCTCAACACTCAATAATTCTTTCACATTCTGCCGTTAATTAATTGATCAATTATTGAAAGAATAATGTAACAATTATTCAATGAATCGAAACGCAATGAGTGCATGACTGCTCATCGTATGATAAAATGCCAATTGATAATCAATGAACTACCAAGAGCAAATATTCTGCTAACATTTGATAGATAATTCAAACATACCTTTACATCCCCCACAGTGAGTAATTTCGATGGTTGATTGGCGCGAACGACAAACTCCGGTCCAACACACTGTGTTTTATTGAGACATCTGGTGGGTCCAGTAATAGCTCGATATAATCTTGACGGAGCCCTTTGGACCGGCTTACCGCGTCTTGCCCTTGGTCCATTGCGGATAGCGTTCCTGAATCGGATGAACGAACAATTGGCATAAATAACACGGTTCAATAAAATTCGGACGTCGTCGACCACAAAAACGAGTTTTGATACTGATTTTAAATTTCTTTTGGAAAATTTTTCTAGCACGTCTAGTTTTCATAAACAACGTTGAAGTGTTGAAAAGTGGCTGGAATAAGCAATTAAAAAATTTATAACAAATTAATTTGGACGTAGTTTTTCCAGAGAAGATACAATGCATTAATGAAAATGCATTTTGTTCAGTGCATTTGGGTTCATCCCCATTGGTTGAGTCGAAGTGAGTGAAAAAATCTTGAAAAAGTCAGAATTTCATGATTTTTCTTGTAGAATTAAATGATCGGAAGTTGGATGCGCACACTTTGATGCATGCCAATCTCAAATTTATCTACACATGTGTGTTAACCTTGTGCGTTAATCTCCTTATTTTCCAACTTTATTTCGCCGAAGCCGAGTGCTACCCTCCCAAGCGTCAAAGAACACTTTATCCTCGAGTATCGAACCCTGTTTTTCATCACGATGTGTGGAAAGTGTAAAATTGTTACTTTACGCACAAGTGATGAAAACAATATTTAATGAATAAATAAACTACCTTGGTGGTTTGGGTGGTGGCTCGCCATTAGTATCAGGCAGAGGTGCTGCTGGTCGATTGACACTCGTAATTATCCTCGGTGGCTTCGGTGGAACTGGGCCATGTACACCCTTAACAGATGCCTCAACATTCCGCTGCACGTGATCCTGTTGATCCGAATTACCCGTGAAAACCCTGAGTCTACTCCCTACTCCTTGATTAGACACATGATTTCTCAATCCCCCATTGCCATCAGTTGAATTCCTACTCGGCAACTGAGGATTGGAATACTGTCGATGCAGCAATGCTGGTGGACAATTTCTACCAGTACCATAAACAACCTCATCACCGGCCATTCTACCGAGATGAGCAATGTTAGGTTGCGATGATCCACCATTACGTACACGCCGAACTCTCACTGGTTGTGCATAAACGTCTGTCCGTTGTACCGTTGATTTCGCTGACAGTCCATTCACCCGTACATCCTGAGAGCTGAGAAACGGCTTGACTGGTAATGCATAAATGGGATCGCTGTACACATTGTTACTAGGTTGAATCTGTTCACCATTTATCGCTAAATTGTGATTACTTCTAGTTTGCGTGATACCAATTGTACGTTCAGTTGTAACTGGTTGTGAATTTGTTCGTCCATGATGTACATCAACACTGTTACCCGGTGGATTTATTGACTCAATGTTCATTTGCGATTGAAATTGGGGTTTTGGGCTGGATAATGTTGGCTCATGACCAGAAAGACTCTGAAGATTTGGATGAGACCGAGAATTACGAGACTGTGACTTGAACAGATTCCCTTTGGCTTGATGTTTTAAGTAGTGCGATGGTGCTGGCGGTGGGGGTGGTTGAGGATGATTCGGAGGGTGTCGCTGGGGTTTCATATTTATCATGCGAGACTGCATCGCAAGACGTCTACGAGCTGCATACTGCGAAGATCTTACCACCTCTCTATACATATCCATGACGATGTGAGTGAAAGGCTTCGACTGAAGGCGCGTACGACAGTACTCCGAAATTACCTGTCAACATGCAAAATTTTTTACAAGATTAGTTCAATGAATTCAATGGATCTATCGTAAATCTGATAGTAGGAACTACCCGCGTCATTATTGAAAAGCGCAATAGAGTGGTAGATTGGTCATTAGTCAGATCACATGGCTCAATGGTTATTGCCTCAAATGTATTCCGTCTGTTTCACTGGACACCAGAATCAATGTCCCATACAATATGTGGGTATTGAACCAGCTGGGTCGAAAAACGATTAAATCAGTACAGCAATTAGTGGCTGGATCCCTTGATTGGCATTTACATTGAGTATCATCAATCTATCATCGCTTATCCTCGAACGCACACTGACGTTTGGAGTTATTCATCTTACCCTTTACCATTATCATCCTCTAAGGACTCTCCTCTGTCATTTGGTCTTGCGAGATAAATTATCATCACTAACCAGTGGAATTCTATTTGAGTAAATTGAGAATTCCAGGTCACGACCACACGACAGTGGAGTCTGAACAAGGGAAATAACACTAGGTTGCTATCAACTTGAAAGCGCTCGTCCTCTTTACTGAGATGCCGATCGATTTCTGAGAACCTTTATGTCCATATGAATCAACCATCTTCCTGATGAATACTGCTACTTTCCATCAAATTGAATCCAACTGATAGCAGAATACATCTTCTCCGTTCTTTTCATCATCACAACATCGAATCGATAAATTCACTGGGCTTTTGAAGGATGAAGGGTTTATCGGGACAAGCGATGTGGACACTGGTTGCAAGCATTTCTATCGTCAGTTGCGTACGTGCCATTAATTGACGGTACCGGATACTAGTCGTGGCAGGTAACAGTCTGCATGTCATTTCAACACGCACACACGAGCACTCGTATACAAGATATTAATATCAATCGTTCTCGGTTGCACCGTGTGCAGTATTTATCACCAGTTAATTGAGAAATAAAATAAAACATCGGAATAGTTGTTGAGTTAATTACAACTAACAATTTAATTACGGGTAACATAGAGCATTCAATTTACATTCAAGGTCATTGGTTTATCACGAAGTGGGGCTATGTGTGTGCGCGGGTAAATGCAATCTGATCTAATATTACTTCCTCAACACCTTTGTGTATTCCGGACTAATCCAATTAACCTCTCCCCTTCCTGCCCCTCCCCCAACAGTATCCGTCCTTCGTACATGGGAATTCCATTTGCATCTATGAGTCATTTATCTGGGCCCTTGGAAAGTGCATCTGTCAAAAATGAGGCAAAAGGTTAGGCACTTCCAGCCTCTTAAGGTATATCTCTAGATAACACGTTTTTCTTAAGACAAGATCTATGCGCGCGCTCTCGCGGGTCTGATATAAGTCGAAAAGTTTATTTCAAGTAGAAACGGGTCCAACCAACATCGGTTTAAATCAAGCCAAAAAATCGGCTTGAATCAAACCGAAAAATCGGCTTAAATCAAACCGAAAAACGAAGTGATTCACGCAGAAATTCTGTCTGTTTCAGGTAGTAGATAGCGACTTGATTCTACTCGGTTTTTCGGATTGATTCAAGTCGATTTTTCGGTCTGATTCAGGTCGATTTTTCGGTCTGATTCAAGTCGACTTTTCGGTCTGATTCAAGTCAATTTTTCGGTCTGATTCAGACCGATTTTTTTTTGGTATTGACAATGAAAGAAATTGAAATCAACAAGAAAATAGAGTCGGAATTATTTAGGTAAAAAATGACTTGCAGGGGTGACTGGGTCAAATTATCACCTTTGCGGGGTTCATACCAGCTGCGTCCCCGTCGAGAACCCTGGGTAAGCTTAATACTTCAAGAATATGTGCTTCACTACACGTTGAATCTGAATGAACACCTCATAATTGAAATTTAACAACTGCTTTCGGAGGGAAAAGCGCAGAATGGGAAATTCTATACATCTACACGAGCATCCACGTTACTACACTGTAAAAAATTTGGTGTTAAATTGACACCGATCGGTGTCCCAATGAGTCCACACCGTTTTCGGTGTGGACTCATTTATAGCAACCAATTCCTGACACAATATACGTCGAAATACTTCAAAATTAACATAAAAACTGTAATATTTACCTATTAATATCCCGGAAAAATTTGCCTCTACTATATTACCTCATTACCGAAATTCTCAAAAAAATATATTCAACACGAAAAATCCGAAAGAGTATGGGAGTGGCAAGATTTTCGACAAAACTGAAATGTTGCTTGAAAAAAAGTAGCCAACTTGAGCGAATTACTTGGATATCCTTAAAATCCGTGATATCCAATGATTTAACGAAATGGTTGGAAACTACGTGGGAAGCCCTATCTCTTCTGCAATACATATAATGTAGCATATAGCTTGCGCGCAATTGGTTTATTATTCACTTGGTCTCTTACCCCTACTAACCCTCTCCCCTCCGAGCATATCCTGAAAGGGTTGGGTAACGCCAGGCGCAATTGTAGTCAGCTGCAGACATACTCCACCACATTCGTGATGTTAAATCACCTATTCTGCGAGTGTACTCGGCTTCAATTAATTAAACCCACCATTTCTGTCTGAGACGGTTAATTCAATACACCTTGTACAACAAAAATCATTAACAAGACATGATGGTAACACGTCAACAGTCAACTGTCGTAAGTGCAGTGCAGTCATGTTGAACAGATTAAGCAGTGCCTGGGACGGTGGAAGTGACCGGACTAATCAATTAACCATCCCTGGAGCATCAGATGGAGGTCAAAGGGAGCAAGCCATTACACGCCTCATCGAACGTCACAATGATGCTGCTAATCGATGATGCTTTGCGTCGGTCAGACCTTTACTTAGTGTTTACTTAGTTATGGGACATGTATCGAAGAGTCATTACACTGAGAAAAAAAATTTCCAATATCTCAAACATATTTTCTTGAGAGACGTAAATTATTTTCAATGGCTTAAATCTGAGAATGTGTGCACTTCACGGAACTCGAATAAATTTTCATTCATCACTATCGTTCCACGTTACGCCATGAATATTTTACATGTTGCAATATTGGAAGTGCATAACGAAAAAATCATGAAAACAATAAAGACTAGAAAATTGACGATTCTTCTACGCGATTTAAGTAAGTTCATTTGCGACAAAATCATACTTGAGTACAAGAATATTTTAAAGCATGAGGCCTTTCTCGGATTATGTGAGTTGAGATGCCTGAGAGAATTAAGGAATTGAAGAAAATTTACATGTCTCGAGAAAATATGTTTCAGGTATTAGAAAATTTGTTTCTCAGTGTAAGGTATATCCCTAGGAAATAAGTTTTTCTTAAGATGTCACATGTTTTTCATAGATAATGTTTATAATATTCCCCGGCTATCGAAAAAAATGCTAACTAGCTGTACTACACAAGCGAGGCATAAGCCAAACGGAAGTTATGGATTCCCCCGACCTCGATTTTTCCATCTTATGAGAAAATGGTTCTTACGATGTTCGTAAGGATGTTTAACTCATCAAGCGGACAATTCAGTTGAAAAGAAAAATAACACTGACTAAATGAATGATTCACGTTACAAATTATTTTTCTCATCAAATTAGAAGTGTTATGGCGTATTTTTCCGGTCTCAAGAACAATAATTCAAGAAATGTTCATAAATGATGGGGGACTTGTGACTGCAGTGGTAAAAGTCAAATTTTGATCGGGCAACATCGCGCGCTTCGGCTAGTAGTGGGGTTGTAACAGTGAGATGAATATTTGTGTGTGTTATACGTGTCCACATGCTTCCAGCACTGAATTATCGTCACCGACTTTACCGACCTTGACCATCTATTGTGCGGTGTTGTCGCGTTGCTTGACTCGTAATGGCGGTCAATTTTTTTAGCGGAATTCGAAAATCAATCGAAGATATCACACCTATATGGCTCGGTCCCCTACTTGTTCTCGCCGGCGATAGATTCTCCATAATCTAAAGTAAACGGCTTGTGTTTTTTTTTTTCAATATCTTGAGTGTCTAACCCACGCAACATCTCGATCAAAGTTCACACGGTCACGTTTCTTCCCTAAGCGTAATATTACAAGAAGTGATTTTCAGAAATTTATTTCTCACTAGGATGTCCCGATGGAAGGATTAAGATTATTACTAATGTGTGGCTCAAATATGAACATGGCATATGAGACAATATAAAAATTATGGTGAATAATGTGGGTTTTGGCTAAACATCCTTAAAAACTAATCCGTGACAGATTGATAAATTCCGAATACATGAAGCTGAAACTTGCAAAATATTCGTCAGCGGAAAATTCAATTCAGTAGATATTTAAGTGTAGAAGAGTCAAATAATCATATGTACAAATTTTATTGAAGTGCGAAAGAGCTTGTATATTACTTAAAAATATTTTTACACCCTTAGATTTACATAAGACAGACATTCTGCTGTCGAATCTTTTGCTGGTTTCAGCTTCATCCGAATACGGTGAACTTTTTGTAAAATTTAGTACTACATAGTTTCTGCGATATTCAACTCTAAAAAAATGGAAGTTTCGTGAAAGCATACGTTATTTGATTCAAAAAAATAATCAACAAATAATTTCTTATTTGATTCAAACAGTTATTGTTGCCTGCATCAACAGCACATAAGAATAGCTCGATAACTTATGTAAATTATTTGGAATTTTTTTCAGGAATCCATATGAGTTAACTTTTGGGTCCGATTGTCTTGGAATTTTAGACAAATTTGAGGATTGAATATGGTTGAATTTACAGTGTCGTCAGTACCAAACTGTAAAAGATACCTACATATCCTTAAAGACAAATATTTGTTGAACTTACATCGAGTAGATTCATGAGGGAAGCCCGTCGGCGAGGATCTGGCTCAGTCATGGCAGCCAGTACAGATTGCAGGGCTGATGTAGGGGATACTGATACCGAACCTGTCAGTGCAGCTACTCGGGGTGTTGTGTCCACCAGCGCTCGGCCCAAGGAGTACATCCACATCTGTAAGAGAAAACGTGATCAGACTTTCCAAAGAGAGTCAATAATTCCAAAGTCATCGAAACTCCTCCCAAATGACTGAATACTAATGCTGATTGATCCGAGAATATGCAATGGGATTCGCAGTGGGACATGGAACGAATGCCAAGAGAATACCGGAGAATGTTAGAACGGCCCGAGATTCGGGAGTGAGCTTTGCGGTCGACACTAAGGAATCCCACCAACGACGATGAAGGACCAGTGTTCAGCCGAGTGGCAAGCCAACAAAGCAGAGGTATTGCAATGCCAGGGATTTCCCAGGGGCTGTTCGTCAAGCCCGACGATATGCCAGGTATGGCCCCTCCAGCTTTTCGATAACGAGTTGGCAGCAAATCGAAACACTCCAGTGGCTTTATTTTCAGGCTTTATCACGTCGTTCTTATTTTCCAACGCCGAAAAAAAAGAAGTATCGAATAAGTTTAATCTCCGGCGAACTCTACAACGCTATGTGACCTCGAGTATTAAAGCATACGATACGTAGATCTCGTACCCCGGGTGCTTTTCCCGGTGTCCACGGTATCCGACTGCTTGGA